GTTTAGTCTGACCATTTTCTGGTATATTTATGGCTATTATTGATAAAAGTATACCACCATATAGAGGAAATTCAAGTGTTTTTGCTTTGGATACATCACGACCAAATCCCGGTAAGATAAATAAATACATTTTCTTTCTGTATAAATGAATTTTTTTTTATGTTAAAGGTTTTGATTTTCGTCCTCAAATAAGTATTGAAAAAACTTTAATAAAATATCGTTCATCATATCGTGATTCATGGGGAGATCATAAAGGTTGGGGTGTTTATAAGGAACAATTAGATCAATATTTAGCTTATTATACTGAAGCTGATGTTCAATATCAACAAGCGATTGATTGTAATGGAGTTCCAATTGAAAAACTTCGTCCACAATTTTATCAAGGAAAATCATGTCTTTTTGATATAAATATATTTAACAAGAGTGAAACACCATGTGTTACACAGAGAAATTTTCAATATGATCGTGGTTGTCCATGTGTTCTCTTAAAACTTAATAAAATTTATGATTGGGAACCAATTACATATCAAAATGCTGCTCAACTACCAGAACAATTTAAAGGTAAAGTCGTTGATTCAAGAACATTTTTTTTTCGTCAAAACTATTTGTAGAAATATCATTTAGCTTTATGGACAAGTAAATTTTCTGATTATATATTAGTTCAATGTAATGGGGAAAATGACGTTGATCAAGATTTTATCTATGAAATCAAATATTTTTCCCAAATGAATACAAAAACAATAGGTGAATTTCATCGAAATTTCGTTCCATATGTTAATCAAGATGGTTATCGAAGTCCATTAGTTTTTGTTTATTTTAAAAGAATTGGAACAAATGTTTTAATTAATGTTGAATGTCGTGCTTATGCACAAAACATTGATCATAATGATAATCTAGAATATAGAACTGGAAGTGTTCATTTTGAGCTGATTGTTGAATGAAATCCTCGTTTTTTTCATTAGAATTGAATCTCTCATCTTTTATTTGTGTATATTCTATCAAAGTGACCATCTACTTTGATGATAAACAAATTCGTTCTGTTTTTTTTTGTTCATTAGCGTTTAGTTCATATCTTCTTGTTTTTTTTCATTTGTGCAACTTACTTACCTTTCTTTTTTATATGCGACTTTTTTTTATGCAAACTTCTAATTGTTTTACACTAACGAGGGAACATACAGAACTGATCAATTGCTTTTGAGTCGAGACTATGTCCATCATGTAGACCTTAATAAGTTATGAATACCTTGAAAAGAGTTCGGGTCCATAGTTTATTATTGTGGAGATACTGTATTTTTATGACGGTTATTTAATAGAATGTCGTAGTCTCCCTCAACAATTCCTGAAAAGGATGTGGGTGTGAGTAGATCTTCTCTCAACCCACACCCCATACATTCAGACTGATTAAGATATGAGAATAGCATACAGAGATCAGCTCTGACATAGAGAAGTATTGCGAAAATATTATTTTTATTCGCAATCGACATTGCTCTATAAAATACAATATTTAGCTTTCTCTTATTATTGAACTTATTTTCATCATTTTTTTCCTCCAACGACACAGTGGCTGTGCTCTTAATTCATACATAAAACAACGAAAAAAAACAATGAACTTGTTGCGAGGTTCTTCTTGCAATAGAGAAAATATATCATCTATTTTAAACAAGTGTGGGTACTCCGAAGTCCAGACACTAAGTGCAGCTCGATAATTGAAAGTAACGCAAAATTTTCAGACATCCCTGTCTACATAGCTCATAATTGTTATAGTGTAATAATAGATTCTAAACACACTAAATAAGACTGTCTATGTCACAGTCAAAATGTATTGCATTTCCATTGATCAGCCTATTTCTAATCACAATATTTTATTAGTTATCTTCTTTTTGGCTACTAATAATAATCACTAGCTATTGACAAGATTTGATAGGCATAATAGCAATGCATTTTGTAAGCTTTTGATTGTATTCTATCTGCACACTTACACGGCTCGAAGTGATATCAATTATCTTCTTCTAGTAGTGATTTCTGTATAGATAGATGCATTTTGTTTATGATTGACTTGTTTGCATCATTTGAACTAGTACAACAGAGTTAAAAACCATCTGATCATTGAAACGTTGAGCAACTGCCTGAACATATCGTATGATTCGTTTCCAACTTTTTTCTCATACTTCATTCTGGTAAATTGTTTTTATAAAATCACTTGATAATGATAAATTCGAAAGATCTCTCCTTCAAATTATTTCTATTGCTTTAATATTTCTTATCAATAATAAAATTTTTAAAAACAAAAAAAAAAGAAGAAAATCAATATATTATTGAACAAAAATAATTCATCATTATTTTCAGGCTTATTATTATTATTACTATTATATAAAAAGAAAATTATTGACTTCTCAAATTTAAACACCTTCAAACTTTTGACCTTCGCCTTCAAGATAGTTTGCACATACGTCGTTCATCCTCTGTTCATAGTTTAGAAAATATCAACAAATAATAATTATATGTAAGACGAACAATGAAAATGATATGTATACATACTCTCGTATGTAATTACTCGCGCATGTTTCGTTAATGTAACAAAGCTAGACAATGTACTCTTTTTTTTTTCACTCTATACATCAAAATAACGGTTGTTTTTCATGTGTAAGACGAGAAAAAAACATTGACTACAGTTTATTATATCTGACGGCTTGCTTTTTTTCACTAAAGTGAAAGGAAAGCAATCTATGCATCAGTGATTATTGTTGTAGAAGAGGATGATAAACATTTTTTTTCACGTTCTTTTTAATTTTTTTGCATTCTCTCGTTTTTTTTTTTGACTTCGATTACCCTTGGACAGTATTTGACGGTAACTACAAATATACTATTTGAATTTAGTGTACACTATATAGATGATATCACAAACATCAGCAGCTTACGAACAAGTCAAGAACACGAAAAGTGTCTCCTGTTCTTTGAATCTTTTTTTTGCATAATCCATCTTCGTAATTTGAATCTTGTGTTCTACTTTTTGTACATAAAGGGTGTCATGTGAATTCTGATTCCCTCATCAGATATTTTTTTTCTTACATGTTTCTGCATTCGAAGAGACTGATATTTTCAGTATTTATACTAGATATCTAGATCTACTCTATACTAGAATTTCATGTTTCTACTAGAAAAATTGCATCCTGTCTATAATGGATCGATATTCAGCAGCTTTTTGGTTATTATATAAATCGAATTTCGATTTGTACATGTCTTTTTGAATAGAACTATTCATCTTACATTGTAATCAAGAATTAAAAATAATCATGTATTCCTGATAATATTTCGACTTTTTTTTTCTTATTCTTAGTGATATTTGTATCATTGTAATAGAAATAAGTAGAAACGTGAAATTCTAGTATAGAGTAGATGTAGACATCTAGTATAAATACTGAAAATATCAGTCTCTTCGAACGCAGACACATATAAGAAAAAAATTGATGAAGGGATCAGGACTTACGGGACACTCTTTATATAGTTGTTATATTAAATTACTAGTAAAGACCTTTTGTATGCCTTCGATACTTTTATATTTGCTTTCAGCTTCTTTAATAAGTAGAGGTATAACATCGGTGGATTTTTAATATAATCATCATTTGCTTCAATCAAATTCTTTACATATCTTTTCATACTATTGCTAACTTTTTATAGCTAATTAATAGAATTATCTATTAGAACAAGTACCGTTCATCGGATTCGGACTCAATTAAGCGTAGATTGTGTAGTAGAACTTCCACAGTTCCATTTCAGTTTAGTTTTCATGATCTAGTTGACCAGTTCACAAGGACTGCTTTAGTCAACCGATTCCTGAAAAAGAACTGTCAAAAATCCAACACATACGGTCTGTTTTCATCAATTTGTATGAGGTTTTTTTTACAAGATCTGGTCAATCAGATCAATTCCTGGAAGCTGAATCGGTGATCATTACTGTTACAGCTCTACTGACACAACATGGAACTTACACATATCAACTGACAGATTTTCAATTTGATTGATTTTCTTTATTTTCCATCGTACCAAGCACATTCAAAATGAACCTGAAACAGTGATATCTAATGAGGAATTCTGTCGAGACCTACCACAACATTCAGCGACTGACTATATTCACTACAATAATCTCAACTATTTCAATATTTCTAGACGGCTTAGCAGATCCAGTAAAGAAGCGAGACCTCAGCAAAATGTTGATTGTGCCACAAAAAAATACATGAAGAGTATATCGTAGACCGATGCTCTCATACAAAGATGATTTTTATCAAACCAAACATACAGATCACCGATAGGATCACCGTCGTCTTTACTTTTCTCTACAGGCTTGAGAATAATCTGATAATTTCAGAATCCTAGGATTTCGATCATTTCCAGTTTCTGATGAGAATTACAGAATCTTGGAAGAGGGACATGTCTCACAATCTGTCATCTTTTAACCTGTTGATCAGCATAGTTTTCAATACTGACCAGAATGACTTTTTTCCAGTATTTAATTTTAAAATCGAAACTTCGAATACTACCAATTGCTATATGAGTGCGAAGGATAGACCTACAATGCTTTATTTCAATGGTAGAGAATGTTTCCATAGATTCTTTCCTATTTCTCAAGGTCATTACCAAAGAAAATACAAAATGTGAAAATCTTTCTAAAATTCCATCAGTATTTTTTCGCTTCTCTGACTTCAAGTTCAGAAGAAACTACCAATGAATTTCCGTTTGTTTATTCTAGATAAGAGTATTCGAATAAATCATGCAGTCATTCGATACAACATTAGTCTCTAGTGACGCGAATCAATCTGATCCAATCGTTGACAGAAAATCATCTCACGATTATCGACGTTTAATCAGGTTAGTTAAGTATACATCTATCATAAAAGAGTGATCGAATTTGAAACATCGATCTATTAATTATCAGGAAAGGCCGATCGGTGTTCCAAACCAACGATCTACTATCAGTACCAGAAGATCCGTATGTGTCATTTGTTTGCTTTTGCTCTGTTTTTTCTTAGTCAACTGACGCTTTCTAACGCTACTTGTAATATCGAAACCACTGGTTTTTTTTCTTGCATCCAATCCTATGTCTTTTTGATTAGTGATATAATTAATGTTGAAAAGTTATTCGAAGTAGAACTGATGAAAACAAAAAAATTGAAGGATGACAAAAATCTTCATTATCAAGATCGTATTACTATCAATGTAAGTGGACTTCATTTTGAAACATTGAAATCGACATTGGCATTCTATCCGGATACACTTTTGGGTAATGAAGAACGACGAAAACTTTTCTATGATCCAATACATCATGAATATTTTTTTGATCGTCATCGAGCCTGTTTCGATGCAATTCTTTATTTTTATCAATCAAATGGACGATTACGTCGACCAAAATTTCGTGCCAATTGATACATTTCTTGAAGAGATCACTTTTTTTGATTTAGGTGAAGAAGCTCTTGCTCAAATACGAAAAGACGAAAATTTGAAAGAATTACGTAAAATTTCTTTACCACGGAGCCCTTTTGGTCGTTATTTATGGGCTACTTTAGAACATCCAGAATTTTCATTTATAGCAAAATTTATTCAAATTCTTTCGGTGTTTATTATTTTATTATCTACTATGGCTTTGGCTGTTGAAACATTACCTAAATATAAGAATTTAAGCAGTGAAATATGCAGCTCTGATACTAGTGAAGGAAATTCAATAACAATCGGTCAGGCAAATAGTACTGATCAATCATCAATAGCGAAATCTAATTGCCATACCTACTTTTCATCACCATTTACTGTTATTCAAACGGTATGTGTGATTTATTTTACATTGGAATTGATTTTACGTATGATAAGTATGCCATCATTATGTGGTTTTATCAAAGATTTAATGAATTGGATTGATATTCTGGCCATTTTGCCATATTACATTGGCCTAGCAATATTTTTTAGTAATGGAGGATCTAATGGTCATTCAAATGCTCAAGCTGCATTGCAACTATTACGTATTCTTCGTTTTGTACGTGTGTTTAAATTCTATCGAGTATTTCGAAATATTAAAGCAATACGAGTATTAGCGATAACATTGAGTGAATCTATTGTGGATTTTATTATTTTAGCAGTCCTCTTGACCTTATTAGGTTTTGTATTTGGTGCTATTGTTTATTATATCGAGAATGATGTTAATCCGACTGTATTCAATTCAATATTCACAGCGACCTCTATTGGGGAATGATAACAATAACTACTGTTGGGTGAGCATCAGTGATTTCTATTAAAAAATATTTGTTTTCTTGTTTATAGATATGGTGATTTGGCACCGGCAACACCTGGTGGACGTATCATTGCTTGTTTTTGTGCTATAAGTGGAACAGGTACAATTGCTATGCTTACTTCAATACTTGTTGATCGGTATCAACGAGTATATAATCGTCGATTATATATTAAACCGAAAGAAATTCATTTTGACGATATTTTCAACAATGAATCAGGTGATCTTGAATTGAAACCTCGCAGACAAGATCGATACAGTCAAACTCTCAATGATATTCATGATGTGCAAGAACAACAACAACAACAACAACAAGATATTCTACGAATCGATCAAGATCAGTATCCTACCCAAAAAAAGGATAATGAAGAAAATTCTGATTCATCAGTCACAAATACAATCGATCATAATGAAAATCAAATCCACTTCATAGAACATGATTTACCGAATACAATCAGCGCAGTGTATTATAACAAAAACCGCGCCGACAGTAATATGGAAGTGAATGCCATTTTCTGATGCATCAATTCATTGACTTTTTAACCTAATGTTTAATTAGTTTGACTCGAACTCGAATAATACGGAATTTCATATAACATGTCGTAGTACTAGTGGTGAATTTTCATTTCATCGAAAAGTCAAATTTTGAAAGAAAAGATGAATAATATAAGTAACTTATTTTAATTGCTTTTGTTCTCTTGAAAAGAGTAAGTTTCATCAACGAAATAAATTAAACAATACTGTTACATCATTCAGTCAACAATCCAATACCACCACGAAAAAATATTATTTGTAAATCGAAATTCTTGATTAATATATTTAGTTAGTGGTTGTAAACAACAATGGCTTAATTGTGGAAAAATATGGTGTGGGTGTGAGGGAAGATTAAAAGAACACTCAAACGTGCATCCAGACTCCACACACCCACACTCGTTAATACCTTGAAAAAAGAACCTATTCTGTATTTTATTTGATTTTCTCATAATTTCATCTGTCAGACAATACATAGGAATGAAATTATTTTATTATAGATATCGTCCAACTTCATGACATAAAAGTACCATATTATTAATAAAATCTATGGTATTCAACTAACCACTGAAGTATAATGTTTATATTTTCTTGTTGTGTGCATATTAGATGAGCTCTATCATAAGTTGCTAAGACTCATCTGCAAAAATAATCATTGCAAATATTTAAAAAAAAGAGTCAGTGAGTCAGAAAAATTTCCTATTTTCTTTTATATTAATGATGTTGTCAGTGTTTTCACCTAAGATACTCGTGAGAAGGAAGAACCAAGTACAATTCTTAATGTACTCTATCTAAGTTAGATCAATAATTTAGTCAACAATCAATTTTATTTTATCATTAACCTATTGATAACCAAAATGGCAGATATTAGTTCATTGTTTTAGAGTCATATTGCTCTTTATTCGTTTGTTGGATAAAATCATAGCTTCACCTTTCTTCTCCTTAGCATTGGGATTGCTCGTAAATGAAATACGATCATAACGGTTGAGCTACAAAAAGCGAGTTCAAATGATACTCATATTCATAAGATATTTTATACTTCTATAATCATTCTTGACTATATTCATACTTGTAACAAGAGAAGTTGGATTTCAAGTATTTCATTATTTAACTTTCAACTTTCATCTCTGCTTCTATAGTTGATAGTAAGATCAAAATACATGTATGGGATATATCACTGAGTAATAGTGAGCGAGGGCAAAACTTGAAAAGTTAAAAATTTGACAGTTAATAGTTGAATTAAATAGTTAAATACCTGAATTCAACTTTCAAATTTGACACCACCTATTGGTAAAGTGTGAGCAGCAGTTTATTAAAACAGTAAGCGAGAATAGGATGCTACATATAAAAAGTAAACCTATACTAATAAATATTAATATAGTTTAGAAGTATTTGTGTTACATGTAAAAGATTAAATAGAATACACATCCTTTAAAAATGTATTTAGTTATTATCCAAATTCTTCTTTATATATAGTACAATTCAGCACCATTCAAAGCCGTTTTATAACCTCCGCCTATTACTAATACGTTTCCATCCAATAATTTTATTGCAGCAGCTTCTTCTCGTGGATATATCATGTTTTCAGTGAGTATCCAAGTTCCTGATGATGGATCATATAATTCACTACTATCCAGCACATGCTGTTCACCTGTTCCACCAATCACTAATTCTTGACCGTCCAATAATATAATTGCTGTATGATCCATCCGAGCAGCACGCATGCTACCAACATTCGTCCGCTCTCTTGATAATGGATCGTATAATTCAGCAGTATTCAGCACATGCGTTTGGTTTGTTCCACCAACTACTAACACTGCCGTTTAATAATACAGATGCTGTATGATGTATTCGAGCATTAGTCATGTTGTCAACATTTGTCCATTTTCTTAATAAGGGATCGTATAATTCAGCAGTATTCCGCACATTATAGCCTCCCCCGCCAACCACTAACACTTTGCCATCTAATAATAGAGATGTTGTATGAGCCCATCGAAGAGCACTTATGTTACCAACATTTGTCCAATTTCCTGATAATGGATCGTAGAGTCCAGCAGGATTCTTCTCCACAATATCCGTGTCAGAAACAGTATTATATCCACCAAACACTAACACTTTGCCATCTAATAGTATGGATGCTGTATGTTTTCTTCGA